GAGCAGTGCCCTGGGCCGAGGTAGAGCTCTGCGTGGTGGGGGCGGCCCCTGAGGCCCCTTTGGCCGTGGGGCGAAGGGAAACATCTTCACAGCAGAGGAGCTTGAAGTTGTGTTGTGCTTCCGAGGTGTCCCATGCACCCCTCAAGGCTTTGTGGGGTATCCCGCTTTGCCATGGGTTTCTCCTACTCCCTCTGGGTCCTTCTCCAGGAGCCAGGAGTTGTCCATGTCCTGTTGTTGGTGTGTGGTGCCACAGAGACCTCTTTGGTGGCACTGGAGTGGGCTAAACCCCACAGCCTGGCAGGGAAGCTGGTGCTGAGGGTGCATACAGAGCAATGGCAGCAGGTGGGAAGTGTGGCCAGGTGCCTGTGGATTTGGAGAGGCTTGTTGTAGGAGACATTGCCTTCTCCCTGCTTTTGGGCCACTCTCCACAGCCTGGCAGGGAAGCTGGTGCTGAGGGTGCATACAGAGCAATGGCAGCAGGTGGGAAGTGTGGCCAGGTGCCTGTGGATTTGGAGAGGCTTGTTGTAGGAGACATTGCCTTCTCCCTGCTTTTGGGCCACTCTCCACAGCCTGGCAGGGAAGCTGGTGCTGAGGGTGCATACAGAGCAATGGCAGCAGGTGGGAAGTGTGGCCAGGTGCCTGTGGATTTGGAGAGGCTTGTTGTAGGAGACATTGCCTTCTCCCTGCTTTTGGGCCACTCTCCACGTGGTGAACTGAGCCCAAGGCTGCAGAGGAGGGAATGTGCTTCCAGGGCATCATGGTTGCCCCCACAGTGGGTGTTTAACGGGCTCTGTACCACTCGCAAGAATTCCTGGGGGAAGGAGTAGATTTTAGCATTAAGGATCTCAGTAGTTAATGGGATCTCTCTAGCTCGTGCTATCATGCAGGTCCAAGCCTTAGTGACAGGGGTTTTCTTGAAGTTCCTTTGGTTACTGCTCAAATCCTGGCTCTTAAATCCTTCAAAATGGATACTGTAGGAGACCATCAGCTTGAAACTCCACTTTATGCACCAACAGTCCAAAGTGCCCAGTGGAATAGGAGCATGAGTGTGGGAATACCTGTCTGCTGTGCTTCTTTGGCTTCCCTGGTGCTGCCTTAGTGCATTTACCTTTGCAAATACACTGTCTAGCCTCAAAGTGCCTCAGAGAGGACAACACACTCTCCATTTTGTAGCTGAAGAAAACTGAGACACAGAAACTGGGTTTCTCCCAAGATCACTCAGGTGGGATGTAGCGAAGCAGCAGGATGATCCAGATCTCTTGAAGCCTCACTTTCTGTCAATTAAACATCCTTCCTTTCCTCTTTAAAGTTGTCTGAGAAGGGAAAAAAACCCTCTCATCAAAGGTATTTTGGGACACGTCATGACTGCCAAAGATTTTAACTACAGGCAGTAACGTTTTTGTAGCATCTTTTGGGCTTCCAGATTAAATGACAGATTTCATGAGAAAGGAGAAAATAAAATGGCATTTTCCCTGTAGTCTAATTCCCACACATGCGACAGAAGCGGCTGTTCAATGTTGCTGGAGTCAGTAGTAGCTTTCTTAAGTTAAGACTTAAACCCAAAAAACTCTGCCAAAACCCTTTTAGTCCAGAAAATTACAAGGCTCCTATTAACTTCTGCAGAAATCTGATTTTTATGTATGTTTTTTTAACATTAATCCCCAAACAAGAGTGGAGCTTCTTCTTTGGTTTTAGTTTGTTACTGCAGGACAGCTGGGGTTTCTTCTTGAATTCCCACCCTTCCCACAAACCAGGGAGGATACTGAGTGAATCCACATGGATACCTATCAAATATATTTTTAGGGCAGCTTGTGTTTTCAAAAGCATGTACTTGATAAGTTTGTCTTGTGCATTCATAAAGCTGCTTTGGCATAAGAGGGAACTGAAACATCAGTGTGAGCAGGCTCTAGCACAAATAATTCCTACCTCTTACCCTGATGGAAAATTACCTTCATCTGTGACCCTGCTGGCAGTTCCAGGCACCTGAGTTTTCACAGGAGCAAGAGAGTAAAGTTTTGGAGACAGAGGTTGTTTTTTATTGCTTATCGAAGCGCTGCAGTTGATTCATCCCGGTGCAACAGCGGAGGCAGCTGCTGGCTGTGGCCATGGGGGAGTGCTTGGCAAAGCACCCAAATAGAGTTTGGAGGCATTGTTCTCATGGGAACATGCTGCTCTCTTTAATAGTCTTCTAATAGCTTTCCATGCTCTAAAATATGTGACTTTTTTCAAAGATCCTGTACTTGCAGGAATGATTTTGGAGGGGGTTTGCCCATACAGGTAGTGTACAGGTGCACTGAAACACAGGACAAAAGGACTGGCAGCCCCAGCTCACTTAAATGTCACCTGCCATCTAGTTCACATTCATTTTCTTGCTTTGCCTTCCACTAGTACCAATTTAGATGCAGTTTTTAATGTAGCTCTCACTTGAAGTTGAGAGCCTGGAAAGTCTGGATGCTTGGACCTTCCATGCCCAAGGAGTTAACATGCTGTTCAATACGTGGGACTGTTCTTTGAGATATTTTCCTTTGTACTCACTCTTGCTTCCAGTTGACCCGCCTTGAGGATTTATCTGTAACATTTATCACAAACGATTTTTGAGTAATTGGATGACTGTTGTGGCATCTCTCTGATTTTTGCTGGTATTTCAGTTGATGGTCTTCTCTGTTTCCACTTTACTCAAAGAAGCACGTAAGAAACAGGATGATAGTCAGGTGAATAAGAGCTGATCTGAACAGAAGGCTTGGTGCCTTGTCAGGGAGTTTTGTAGTATTTTGGCTTGTAGTTGTAGTATATAATGAGAACTGACACTTTGCATTCTTATAACTGTAAGGATGTGTTTACTTTTTTTATCCCCTAGAACATGGTGATGAGTTTCCGAGTCTCAGATCTTCAGATGTTGCTGGGTTTCGTTGGCAGGAGTAAAAGCGGACTTAAACATGAACTAGTCACCAGAGCATTGCAATTGGTGCAATTTGACTGCAGCCCTGAGGTTTTCAAGAAAATTAAGGAGCTCTATGAGACTCGCTATAACAAGAGGAGCTCTGAAGCTGCTCAGCCCCAGCCCCAGCAGCACCGCTCCGCAGAGGCACTCTCCATACACACCAACTACGACCGCGGGAGCACCATTCCCCGGACTACTATCCCCACCACTAACATTGACTATCCTGCTCTCTATGGGAAATACCTTAACGGACTGGGGAGGTTGCCACCCAAAGTTGCAAAGCCTGAAGTTCGCCTGGTGAAACTTCCCTTCTACACAACCCTGGATGAGCTGTTGAAGCCAACAGAATTAGGTGAGTTTTCAATACGCTGCTGCATTCACAGCGGGCGCAGTCTGGGAGAGAAAAGTGATTCTGGGTTAAGTGTCAGAAAGGTGACAGTGTTCTCAAGGACCTGTGACAGGAGGAGAGGCTGATTAATGGTGTGGTGGGTCCCCTTCTCTCCCCCCTCAAACTTAGAGAAGAATATTTCTGTCTTTCTTTTCCCCCTTTGCCTTAGAACACGTCTATGGTTGCTTTGAGATGTAATTTGAAATCCTGTCTTGTTTGGCTGTAGCTTTCCCATCCTTCATTGCAAATGCTGCTGTGTTGCATGGTGCAGTCTTTCCCTGTGAATCAGAATCTGTGTTCCATCTCTGTAACAGGGCAGTGGATTGATGCAAATCATTCCATGTGGGTATCACACCTGTGCTAAGCCAGTCTGCTGGCACATGCTACACTCATGCTGTTTTCCAATGCTTAAAATACCTGACCTAAAGCCTCCTGTGGATGAAAGAGGGTGGCATGCACAGCAAAGAGTATTTCTGACTCATTTTGTGCTTGTCATAGCTATTTGTGCCTGATGCTGTGTATTTTGAGCTAGGAAAACTGGAAGAAGTGCTTTTTTCCCCAGCCTGGGGCCAGGAGACTGATTTTTCATCATTTTAGTTTAGAAACAAAGAGGATTGTCACCAGTGTTCCATAGAATGTTCTTGTAGCGAAGGCAGCATATGTGGAGGAGAAGTATCATTGTCAGCTGCACCTCAGCATCTCACGAAGCCCCATGTGGTGATATCAGGCTTCACTTCTAAATGAACCTGGCACTTGGGAAGCTGCTCTGTCTTTGTTGGATAAAATGTTTGATGTGCATGTGGATTAGAGGGGAAAAAAAAAGGGTAGATGAAGGTGTGATTGTGCAAGTCCAAAAGAAGGACCAAGTCATGAAACTTAGGTAGTTTTCATCTCCGTTCATCAGACTTTGTGTAATTTTCATCTTTGTTTGGTGGCTTTAAGTATGTTAATGCTGTGACTGTTTAAACAGTTGAGGGGTGATTGCTAAAACAGTTTAAATGCTCTTTGGGGAAGGAGTTTGTTCAGCCTTAAATATGGGGTGGCATTTGTTAGTCAGAAACACAAACGCAGTTTGAAAGGAGAACAAATTCTCAAGAGGTGAAAACCAGAGGCAGGAGGAGAGCCTGGATGTACTTACTGTGATTAACAGATTTTGTTAAACATTGACATTAAATCTTCTGCATCAGATCAGAAGCAAGGTCTCATTATGTTGCGTAGCTGACACCTCCCTCAGGTCAGCTTGTTCCCTGGAGCACATTTGACTGATTTTCCCTTCTGATGAGAGTGGTTTCTGTGTAACGGTGGGGGATTGCTGGTGAGGAGCTGGGCATGAGCAGAGCTTCAGTCTTTGTCCTAGTCAATGTTCAGAACCTAACAACATCTTCCAGACCCTTATTTAATTTTCCCAACCTGGTGACCTGCAATCCCTTCTGCCAGAGCCAATGGAATGAACAAGCTACCTGTAACAGTCAGGTGCTGGAATAACTTCCACATGAGGAGTTATGCTTGTGTGGGGCTCTGCTTAGTGTGCAAGGGTGATAAAACAAATGCTCTGAGGAAAATGAAGCATTTTTCCATATGGAAGCTGCAGCAGTTCATGCTTCATTGCCCAGCTTTCCTGTTCTGTGTCTGCACCAAGCATAAGCTCCTTGTCAACCTCAGAAATTCGTAACGAAGTATCTAAAAGAGATTTAAGATTTTGGATCCACTTGGAGACATCCAGCTGTAGTAGTAGTACCCTAGGCCGCAAAAAGAGCTATTTTAAGCAGATGTGCATGGTGGGAGTAGGGGAAGCTTAATTTATATGTTCCAGACTTCAATTAGAAGTATCTTGCCTAATGACAAAGCTCTCTTGCCTCTCCAAGATGATTACCTTGAGATGAAAGGTGAGGTGGGCGATGCCTGATTTGGTCTGTAGGCAGAGCAGGTTCCCTGAAGAACTATCAAGTTACTATTAGGCTTGTAGACAATGGTGGCTTCAGCTAAAAGCAGATAAATTGGGTCCATTGCAAGCCAGCCAGTACCTCATATTTGGTAACTGCAGACACAGTTTCAGTCAGTGGAAGTACTGAGTTTAGCATCTGAGTTATCTACATGAAAACAGCCTCTGCTGCAGCTTTCTGGTCAGGTCTGAGGGTGCTGACATGAAAGAATTTGTTCTAATTTACTGAAATCGCCACAATTCTCTGGGGTGGATAAGGCTTAAAATGAAGATTGATCAGATACCTTCTTAGAGGGAATGAATCCTCACATCCTTCCTGCGCTGTATGTTAAGTAGCTGACAAGGGGAGTGTTTGTGTGAGCTGGTGGTGTCTGAGCACCTTGCTGATAAGTGTACGTGTGCACTGGCACCTCTCTGGGCTGAAGCAGTGTGAACACAGTTTTTGACAGTCACAGCGTGCTGTGAGGGCTTCTGAAAAGGGTTTTTGTTCTGAACATGAGCTGTGACAGCCCATGTTCAGTGTAGATACTGAGGCTTCTGCTCTTCTCCTGGAGGCACGCCAGAGGAGACCTTGGGGCGCAGCTGCAGGAGCACAAGGCCATGTAGTCTGCGAGTCTCTGTACACAGCCTTGTTTGGGTTTCTCCCTCTGATAATACCTGCAGTGGTGTTGCTCTTTCTCCATGTCTAAGTCCTAAAACTGCTGCTTCAGCTACCTCCTCCTCTGAAGCTGGACTTCAGCTGCTATAAACAGGGCCACTGATTTTGTGGTGAAGGCAACTGCCTTCCCCTGGTGCAGGGCAAATATCACTGCCATGAGGGAGCTCCAGGGAATCCCAGCAAAAGCACACACTTGTGCTGATGCCATCTCCACCTCAACAAACCCTGATATGTGTTAAAAAAGTCCTTTCCCCACTTACAAATATAAAAGGTGCTGTACAGTCAACTTATAGAACCACAGCCTGGTTTGGGCTGGAAGGGTCCTTAAGGCTCATCCAGTTCCAAACCCCTGCCACAGGCAGGGACACCTTCCACTAGAGCAGGTTGCTCCAAGCCCCTGTGTCCAACCTGGCCTTGAACACTGCCAGGGATGGGGCAGCCACAGCTTCTCTGGGCACCCTGTGCCAGCACCTCAGCACCCTCACAGGGAAGAGCTTCTGCCTCAGAGCTCATCTCAATCTGCCCTTTGGCAGGTTAAAGATATTCCCCCTTGACCTGTCATCAAGTAGCTGCTGACAACACCTAGTGGTGTCTAGTGGAAGGTGGCGGGGGGTTGGAACTGGATGACCTTTAAGGTCCCTTCCAAGCCAGACCAGTCTGGGATTCTATTTGATGTGTCACAATAGCGAGCAAATTGCCTGGTTTGCAGTTCAGGAGTGGGCTAGTTTCGATGCTGGAAAACTTTGCTGGAGAGGTGACAGTGAATATGTTGGATACTTCATGGGCTTTGACTTCCATCAGCATCCCCCATGAGTTCCAGTTGGTGCTGTGGGCAGCCTGTGCTCAGCAGCCGGGCACTGTTTCTGTTTTCATACAGGAAGAGTGAGCTGATAGAGATGCAAAATAAAACACAAGCAGCTTCACAGTTTTTCTAATCAGGTTTGCTTTGTCTTTGTGTAGCTGAACAGAGAACAGTGTGTCCATGGACAGCTATTTAAGCAACAACATTAAAACGAGAGCCCTTGTGAAATGCTTTACTTCTCACTGCTGTTTTGGTCAAGAGATGTTTGGATGGAAACTGGAATTAAGTTAAAAGTCCATAACAATACCTTAGTTATTTTTTCTTTTGTTCTGAAAGCCCTTTTGTCAGTTTAAAGCTGAATTACCAAAGGGAGGTGTCTGTAGTCAGTGAATGATTTTGTCACCGTGTCCTCTGAGATCTTAGACCCACTGAAGTTTTATCCTTCCTTCATCTCAACTTACTTGCACAGTAAAGTGCATTTCCATACTTCTCAAATTCTGGTATATTGGCCTTGAATAAACTCGCACTTGAGGTGATGCAAAGAAAAACATCCAATTCTTGCTAAAAAGATTTAAATAAAAAAAGCTGTTTTATCACTTCCCATTTATTGTGTTTATCCTGTGACTTTCACCCACTCCGGGCCTCGACTTCAGCTGGAAACATGCTCTGAGAATTTAACTAAATGTGTCTGAATTGAATACAAGGTACTAAGTGAAAGTTATAACATGAGTTTTGCACATCTCAAGCTTCATTTTAATCACATTAAATGCATTTGATCTTAAAATCATCAATGGCTAAAAGGCCACAGTTAACGCTGGGTTCTCAAAGGAGTGTGTCCAAAAGTGACTGCTTAACACCCTACTTCCAATACACTCTGAAGGTCATGTATTTAAGTCATGTTTTTTCTCTTACAGCTGTTTTTTTTTGATGCTTTTCATAATACTAAGCTGATCTTGTTGTTATTTTTGTTGTTGTTTCCTTTCTTTTCCAGAATCAGTCTGGTGGGTTCATGTTTTCATGTCATGCACAGGTCTCTTCTTTTCGCTGCTTTGAGCTCTAGTCTCCGCACTGTGATGCCACTCATGGTTTGTGCTCATGGATTATTTGAGGGGAGGAAAAACAAAGAAAAAGCAGCTCCAGATCCACTGTGTATTAGTGTGCAAACTGGCAAAGCAGGCAAGGAATGAATGAGCAAAGCTGTAATTGGTGGTAGAGTTACCAAAATGCACAATGATCAGCGTTCAGCTCTATGGGAGAAAACAAGACTTGGGAATAAACATAGCTCAGAACATAAGTGTGCTTCACAGTGTAGGAAGAGCTGGATATTATCAGTTTGATGCACAGTCTCTTTTTTCCTTCTCCAGTTCCACAGAATAATGAGAAGCTTCAGGAAAGTCCATGTATTTTTGCATTAACACCGAGACAAGTGGAGTTGATCAGAAATTCCAGGTACTTCTCATTGGGTATTAACAGTGCAGGAAAACATTGCTGTGTGATTCCTCAGTGTTCCCTCTGTGGAAGCTTTTGTTCTCTGCAAGGAAACAGTTTGTTTGAGGACATGAGCAGACAGGCCACTTCTCATGTAAAGCAAATAGCTTTGGGGGAGGTGGGAGGTCCAATTTCACCCATCTAGGTCCTTTCGCTTCTGCTCCTCTAATCTTGCCTTTGAATAGTACATTCGGGCAGGAAAAGTGCTATGAAATGGTTGGTGACCCAGGTTGTCTGCTGAGCTTGTGTTGTGAGTACTTGCACATTTTTCTTTGCATCAAATGTTCAAAAGCTATCCATGTAACACTGCCCCCGAAAGAAAGCTTCCTTGTTGTAAAGGCTGCTATAGTAACTGTGTAAGAAAACATCTTGCACCGGTCAGGATTTACCCTGACCTCTGTCACGATACAACTTTTGATTCAAACAATGAAGCGCCCCAGAGGTGTCAGTTCTTTCCCTGACCCGTCCCCTGGCCCTTGCTGTGGGGAAAGGACAATGACACAGAAGAGGTCCTCAAAACTAAGCAGAAAACCCTTGAATATTTCTCTTCACAGTAAAATCACACTGTTACTGTGGAGCTGGTGAAATATGATGTTTCTTGACTATTCAGTGCTTGATTACTGTTGTGATTCCAGTAGGTCAACAGAGGCAGTGCAGGGGAAGCTGCTTGAAGAATTAACAGAAGGGAAATGATAAACCACAGAAGTCTTTAAGGGTGATAAGAACCTACACCCTTTTGTCATAGCTGATTCTTGATGCTCTTTTCTCCATATATTCAGATTTGTGAGAAAACTTACAGCCAGTGGCACAAATATTTCATAGAAGGGCTTTCAGTGAGTCTTTGCTTGTCTCAAATGACCACTTAGCGCAGATCCATCATCTTCCCCTGCTTGGTGGGTGGTATCCACATATGTGTCCCCCAGCTCTAAAACTGCCCTGTCAGCTCCTGTCTGTCAGCTGAATAGAGGTTCCATCCCTTCCACCCCCAATGTCTACACATTCATACTAAAACTCTTGAGTTGGAATGTGAAATGCTGTCAGAGGCAACTCAAGACTCATTTGAGGATCTTATGCTTTGTGTCCTGGCAGAAATGAGTATATAGTTTCACCTGTGTACAAAGACCTGATAAAATACCCTTGTTCTGGGGTCTGTTGCTTTCGTGGTACCAGCTAAAATCCTGTTATGATCGGCACCACTGAATTCAGTGATATTGAGGTTGTTCTGCTTGTGCCACTGGTTCCTTTGTTTGCATGAGCAGCTTTAGCTGAATAATTGAACAAAGAGAGTCTTGAAAGAACATTCAGGTAGTCCTGACCTTAAATTCTAACTGTTGTAAATGCTTCCAAATCACCAAAAGGATGCCAGGCAAATCAATAGCTTTTACCCAACACCATTCCAGGTTTGAAAACCCAGGAATAGGCTGTAGGATTATGTATTGGGGGGGGGGGGG